AGCCAATATCATAATGCCCCTATATAAATCAATGGTGCAACCTCATTTGGAATACTGTGTACAGTTCTGGTCACCACACCTTAAAAAGGATATTATAGCATTGGAAAAAGTGCAGAAAAGGGCAACTAGAATAATAAAAGGGTTGGAACACTTTCCCTATGAAGAGAGGCTAAAGCACTTGGGACTTTTTAGCTTGGAGAAATGGTGACTGAGGGATGACATGCTAGAGGTTCACAAGATTATGCATGGGAAAGAGCAGGTAGAGAAAGAAGTACTTTTCTCCCTTTCTCACAATACAAGAACTCATGGGCACTCAATGAAATTGCTGAGCGGTCGGGTTAGAACAGATAAAAGGAAGTACTTCTTCACCCAAAGAGTGATTAACACATGGAATTCACTGCCACAGGAGGTGGCAGTGGCTACAAGCATGGATGGTTTTAAGAAGGAATTAGATAAATATATGGAGCAAAGGTCCATCAGTGGCTATTAGCCACAAGGTAAGGATAGGGACTCCGGGGCAAGTGATGCTCTGTATTCTTGGTGCTGGGGGAAAATAGGTCTGGAGGTCAAAGTGGAATTCACCTGCCAAGTGCAGAAGGTGGTCTTGAACATGGACACCAACTTCCATTCCAATATCATGGTATGCAAGGTAAACACCAAATTAACTTGAAGCTTGCATTCTTCTCTCTCCTATTTTATTTATTTATTTAATTGGATTTATAGCCCGCCCACCCCGCAAGCGGGCTCAGGGCAGCTCACATTGCTTGGCCCAACAGGTTAGGGCAAACTGGTTCTTAGTCTCCATTTACTCACCCCCTCAATATGGCAAAAGGTTGTACAATTACCCTTTACCAGGACTCAGTGTTCAAAGCCAGTTATTACCTTTTCTCTTACTTCTGTTTGAAGATGGGGAGTAGAAGATGATGATTAAGTCTGCACCTTCACACATATTCAGCAAGTCTTAAACCTTGCATGCAACATGTGCTTATATCCCCTGTGAATAATCTTTACACAAATATATTGGATAGCCCAGGCAACTTTGATCTCATCAAAATTTGGAAGTTATGCAGGATTTGTCCTGATCAGTTTTTGGATGGGAGACCACCAAGGAACTATGCAGAGCCAGACAATGACAAACCACCTCTGAAATTCTTTTGCATTGAAAACCCTACAGGGTCACCATACGTTGGCTGAGATTTGATGGCAAAATATATATAAGGGAAAACTGTATTCTGTTGAGTCTGTCCCTGGGATATGATGGAATAAGCAGGCTGGATTTAAAGCTTATTTTTCTATCAGCAGAAGAACGCTTCTGCCACCAGAGGATGGGATGGGGTAATTCTTGCAGACACCCCCCACACACACACGGCCAGCCCCAAAATCACACCTGATACTGTTCCTAGGAATGCCTTGACTCCCAGGAATAGTGCTACAGGAGGTACAATGGACTCCAGAAGAAGGTAAGGGGCAGGGAAATTCTGTTCCACAAACAGAGCTACATTCATGATAGTTTGGATGTTCCATCTAAGCTGTGGAGTCTTACGAGCAAAAATTCTACTTTGTGAGCTACTGGCATTAAAGTTGTGAGCAAGCAATTTGGCTACTGCATAGATTAGTTTGCTCTGGAACCATCCTTACTGAGCTAAGACAAAAATGTGTGAGCTGGAAGCTAAAAAATGGTGAGCTAGCTCACACTAACTCAGCTTACAGGGAACACTGGATGCAACCCAAGTTTTCTTAACTCACTCCTTTACCTGGTAGCCAAAAAGTAGAACAGGAAAAATGTAGTACTTTTAATGCTTGCATCTAATGATTTTGAATCCCCCCACATCTAGATGTGCAGTCCAATTTTTCTTTTATATTGGCTTCAGAATTTGAAGTACATTTATAGTTCTACATGGGGGTATTGATATAAAAATCAGTTTTCCATCACAAGATATTCTCAGATCTCTGAATTAGAGCATTTAAGCATTTTAAATTATAGCTTTCAAGGGTTTGTGGGGGGTTTTGGCAATGGCAAGTCACCAAATATATGATTGTGTTCAATATAGCATGTTTGTCTTCGAAACATCAAATAATACATGAACACACACAAGTCTTACGAGCAAAAATTCTACTTTGTGAGCTACTGGCATTAAAGTTGTGAGCAAGCAATTTGGCTACTGCATAGATTAGTTTGCTCTGGAACCATCCTTACTGAGCTAAGACAAAAATGTGTGAGCTGGAAGCTAAAAAATGGTGAGCTAGCTCACACTAACTCAGCTTACAGGGAACACTGGATACAACCCAAGTTTTCTTAACTCACTCCTTTACCTGGTAGCCAAAAAGCAGAACGGGAAAAATGTAGTACTTTTAATGCTCGCATCTAATGATTTTGAATCCCCCCCACATCTAATTTTTCTTTTATACTGGCTTCAGAATTTGAAGTACATTTATAGTTCTACATGGGGGTATTGATATAAAAATCAGTTTTCCATCACAAGATATTCTCAGATCTCTGAATTAGAGCATTTAAGCATTTTAAATTATAGGCTTTCAAGGGTTTGTGGGGTTTTTTGGCAATGGCAAGTCACCAAATATATGATTGTGTTCAATATAGCATGTTTGTCTTCGAAACATCAAATAATACATGAACACACACAAAACCTCACAAGTCTGTTTGAAAACTGAATACAGAAACAGCTTCTCACCTTTTGTAAAGTCACTGTGTACTGCTCCCATATCAGCTCTTCCATGCCTGGGGCCTGTTACACAATTTTAAAAAATACACTATCATCAATAGAACATCACAACAAGAGAAAGATCTCACCAAATCACAGCAAAACCAAAAACAACAGAACCATTTCAAAATCTGCATCACTCAGCTGGCATATTTTCCAGGAACCCCATAGCACCGCTTAAACCATCAATGAGCAAGGAATACAAAATTTAACATGAAAATTTGAGGCAGTTTATATGTCTGATCAACACAGCTCTAAAGGAAATCTAGCACAGTGTAAGTTCACCCACCTCCTCAAACATTTGTGGCTACAGTATGAGCTGCAACAGTAGGAGCCAGGTCTCAGTAGCAGCAGTATGCAATCTCTGCTTTGCACATGTGAAGTGCAGTGTTCAATACCTGGTTGTTGTTGTTCAGTCTATTTTCCAGGAACCCCATAGCACCGCTTAAACCATCAATGAGCAAGGAATACAAAATTTAACATGAAAATTTGAGGCAGTTTATATGTCTGATCAACACAGCTCTAAAGGAAATCTAGCACAGTGTAAGTTCACCCACCTCCTCAAACATTTGTGGCTACAGTACGAGCTGCAACAGTAGGAGCCAGGTCTCAGTAGCAGCAGTATGCAATCTCTGCTTTGCACATGTGAAGTGCAGTGTTCAATACCTGGTACCTCAGATTAAAATTATCCTAAACTGCCAAGATGGGGGCGACACTTTGCAGACCCCTTTGAGAAAATGCAGCCATATCAGAGATGTGAAGACCCAGACCAAAAACTATGGGGACACATATACTTCTCCAGCCTTTTCTATGGTTTTCGATTGATCTTAAATACACTTTCATCTAGTCCAGCACAGATCCCAGACATGTGTTCCAGAATACCACTACCTCAACTTGGTTTGGATGATCTTGACACTGAACTCCTTAATGACCTTCCCAAGAGATTTCATGCAAACGTGTGAGACTCAAATACCAGTCAGAACCACCCCAACATGGAGAGACAATGGTATCCTGACGTCATCACCCAGAATGTGTCCTCTAGAAACAAACAGAACCACTGTAAAGTGGCACCCTTACCCAGAAGGATAGTCCAAGTGGATACTATGGACAAATGCAAAGAAAAACACTGACAGGTCCAAGAGAAGTTAAAGGATCACTCTCCTTTCTATATCTCTCTATTTCTCCTGCCTTTGTGCATTTGTCACCCACCAGTGCAACCAAGCCACTTTCAGTCCCCAAGTCAAGCCTGACACCAATCTGAATGGTTCCACATACATCATTTCCATTCAACATCACCAGGAACTGTCAGGCTACTGCCCACTTCAGCAGTTCTGCAAACAATTATCCAGAGAGATGAATTAAAACATCCCCAGATGCAGCCAAAGGAGTGGGTGACAACTGTTTACATTACTACTAAAATGCTGGTCTCCTGTGCTGAGAACAACAAGCTATTGGATGAATCATATGGCCAGTAAAATCATTCTTCCAACTACTCCAAACTATTCAACTCACTTCTAATTCTATACACACAGTGAAGCTTTTTAGCTGGCACTTTATTAGTGAGACTGCCCAATTAACTGGCATCACAAAGTGGGCAAGCGTCTTCTCCTCGGCCACCACAGTCCTGCATCTTCAGAAGTGTATGCATGCCACACTCATCCTCTCCAGCTGGCCATCTTGATGCCATCAATCATTGCTGGGCTTGTGACAGCTGGCAAGACAGCTGGCAACCTCAACAGGTGTCTCCTTTCCCTTCTGCCTCTCTCAAGATGCTGGGGGCACCTGCTCCTCCTGAGGGATCCTGAGCAGCTGGGCCCACTTTTATACCTGGTGTGTGGCATGGTTTGGAGGGAAAAGGAAGGGTCCACCAGGCATGGGAGGCTGTTGCCATGGCACTCCCAATAGAGCGAGGTCGAGTCATTGAGGACTCTTGGGTAGTGGGTAGAGCAGACCAATAAGCTTGAGTATCCATACTTCCTTCACTGTACAGGAAAAAATGCTAAGAACAATGAACATATTTCTACTCACATGAAGTTCCTTGCTAAGCTTAAAACAAAAATCAATGCCTAAACTCGGGAGTTTTGTAAAACGGAAAAGTTTGTCTTCCAACTACTCCAAACTACTCAACTCACTTCTAATTCTATACACACAGTGAAGCTTTTTAGCTGGCACTTTATTAATCAGACTGCCCAATTAACTGGCATCACAAAGTGGGCAAGCGTCTTCTCCTCGGCCACCACAGTCCTGCATCTTCAGAAGTGTATGCATGCCACACTCATCCTCTCCAGCTGGCCATCTTGATGCCATCAATCATTGCTGGGCTTCTGACAGCTGGCAACCTCAACAGGTGTCTCCTTTCCCTTCTGCCTCTCTCAAGATGCTGGGGGCACCTGCTCTTCCTGAGGGATCCTGAGCAGCTGGGCCCACTTTTATACCTGGTGTGTGGCATGGTTTGGAGGGAAAAGGAAGGGTCCACCAGGCATGGGAGGTTGTTGCCATGGCACTCCCAATAGAGTGAGGTTGAGCCATTGAGGACTTTTGGGTAGCGGGTAGAGCAGACCAATAAGCTTGAGTATCCATACTTCCTTCACTGTACAGGGAGAAATGCCAAGAACAATGAACATATTTCTACTAACATGAAGTTCCTTGCTAAGCTTTAAAAAAAATCAATGTCTAAACTATTTTTCACGGTGGATAGTGCTACACTTTCCCCCACTGGGGGGAAAAAAGCTGTATTAGGGCACAGAGTTGCTACCCTAACACAGAAAGCAGGAAAGAGTTTCCCAGAATGAACTAAACCAAACTGCTAAGGAAGTAAATGACTTTTCTGTTTATAGGGCTTTTGCACAGTGGAATCCTCAAATTAAGCAGAACTACCTCTTGAAGTTACATTCTGGAGGCTAGCAAATGTAGCACTGACAAAATACTGAAGGTTCACCTTGGGAGTTCACCAGGCACAAAAGCCATCTGTGCTGCCCTAAATCTCTAACTCATAATCTCTTTAACATTATAAAATTTACAGCTGTTTACTGTTGCAGAGATACTAACCAATGCTGACAGATTAATGGAAAGGACCAGAATGAGTGTGGGGGGCAGGGTAATGCCACAGATGTTATAAATCAGTGTCTGAAGACTTCTGACTGCAACAGAGTGGAGAATACATCCTCCATCACAGCACACCATTACAATTATATTAGAAAGCAGCAAAACAAAGGCTTTTATATGCACTGTTCCTGTAAATGCATTCAGAAATGGATTAGTGAAGTACCAATGATTGCTGAGAATTGTTAATGCCTCACTGTATGAAAATAAATCCATCTGTAATAGGAACAGTTACCACACTGCTACAAAAATTAAACAAGTGGTGAAAAAATTGCTAATAAATTATCTAGCAATTTTAACAACTCTGTATTAAATGCCTATTGCTTTTACTGCATTGTCTCCTACCTATGTAACCTGCTTTGAGAGCATTATGGTTTGTCATGCCTTAGATAGCCTTTGCTGAGAGGCAATTTTTTTTTTCTAATTCTGCAATCCTAGGCCTACTGCAAAAAAAAAATTCTAATTCTGCAATCCTAGGCCTACTGCACTGTCTATTGGATGTTTTATGACTGAATTTTTAAATGTTTTACCATCTGCTTTGAGTCTCAGTGAGAAAAGTGGGCTATAACTAAAGCAAACAACTAAAAATAAAATCTATTGAAGCAATATTTCCAAGCAGAACTTTGCAAAGATCCATCTGCTAATTAATTCTAATTATAACAGCAATTTCAGAATTCAAGTACTTGGAACACGCTAGTACTTTTCCCCATAAAGAGCTTGACTTTGAGCTATTTTAGACTACTATAAATGACTGCACATTCACATTAACTGTACAAGAATCAGAACCTCCAGTTTTAAACTCAGCACCCAGGGGGGAGAAAGCTAATATATTTTTTGGGGAAAATAACTCACGTGCCATTTTAAAATCCTCAACTTTTTCACCGCATGCAACCATATTCGCTGAAGAGCTTGAGCTGTCTTCATTGTGGCAGGCTATAATCTGTTAAGGGACTCTGAATGTCCCAGTCTTTTCATCAGTTTCCACCACTCAAACATTGTTATGTAAGTCTAATACAATAGTGGCCTACATACTCGGCAAATCCTGCTATCACTTCACACAGTAGTTTTTGTGTTTTTTGAAGAAAACCACAAATGAGAAGACAACCTACTTCTTAAACACCACTTTCTCAAACAGAAAATAATCAAATGCAGGGCTTTACAATACCTAAAGAACTTTTCATATTTATCACTGTGCAAGTACAAACCTATGGACTTCACCCTCTACCCATGGAAGGAGAGGACAACAATGCAAAATGGGTACTTATGGTAGAAGCACTTCCAAGATCTGCAAGTGTTTAGGCCACAAGCAGCAGATGTTAGTACACTAAATGCCCCAAGGTCCTTTGGTTAGCATCTGCCCAAACAGCCCCTCAAGATCTTCTGGGGGCAAGGGGAGAAGAGAAAGAGTACCTTTGTTCTTGTGAACCATTGCATCTCACAGTGCTTCTAACCAACTTAACAGCATACTGAGTCCCCATTCCTTTCTTGCTCAGTTCATCCATAGCAGCCCATTTTGCCTCTCCTCCTAACCACCCTTGACTGATGCTGCTGGTTGCAATCACTTCTCTTTCACCTGGTGATTAGGCAAGCGCTTCCCTGGAACACCTGAGGGGCTGCTGCACCCCTGTCCACTCAGAGATAAACCGTGCTCTCAAAACGTGCCACATCCTCTCTTTCAAAGCAATGGCCAATTAAAAAATTATGCCTTTTACAGCACTCCCACAGGGCTTGCATGGAGAACTCTCAGATGAAGCAGAGCTGGAGAAGTCACCAGAAAACAGAGAGCAAACTCAGTAATCTGAACGGGTTCTCTTGTGCATTGGTTTGTGGCTTTTTTCTGAAAGCAATGCGGCAGGAGAGAAGGGCTCATGGGAAATTGCTCATTTCCAAGAAGGGAGGGATTCCTAGCTTCTGAACATCCC